GGGGGGGCGAGTGCAGTCAACAGACCAAGGAGAGAACGCACAACCCTGCCCCACAGACCGACACCACACCCAACAGCTGCGTGGCAAAAGCTGACTGTTCAATCCAGGAGCTGGCTGTTTCCCACCAATGCAAAAGTGTGGCTAAATACATACACATGCACACACGGGCACACATGTTATGTAGTACGTGTAAGTAATTCTTAGAAGAGTTAACTATAAAAGCACAAGTCTTTAAATATCCACCGGATGGAAGCGACTGGTCTCAGGAGCCATGGCCTCTGCACGTGGCAGCCGCCCCAGGGCTTCTCCTGTGGCCGCATGGCCTCACCTGGGGGCCAGGCTTCATCGCACTCACCCAGAGAGGCCTTCTCCGACCCTGTGATCTCAGACAGGCTCCCCCACGTTCCCCCTGTGCCACAGCCCTTGTATTCACAGTGGCCACCGGTCTGCAATGGCCCAGTTCATTTGTTTACTGCCTGCCCCACTCCCCAGGGGTGTGTGCTCTCGGTGCAGAGGTCTGGGCCGTAAGCCGTGGTTGCTTCACAGCCCAAGGTCCCAGATGAGTACCCGGGATTCAGCGTTTAAGAAATACAGCTTGTGGGCGCCTGAGTGGCTTAGGTGGTGGAGCATCCAACTTTGGCTCAGGTCATGACCTTGTGGTTCGTTGGTTCGAGCCCCACACCAGGCTCACTGCTGTCAGCGTGCAGCCTGCTTCGGATCCTCTGTCCCCCTCTCTTCTGCCCCTTCCTCAATTGCACACCCTCGCTCAAACATTAAAAAAAAAAAAAAAGGAAATACAGGTTGCCTGAATGGATACAACGGTCAGTAATGAGCTAGTAAGAGAAAAAACTTGATTATGGAACAAGCCTTGTAATAGCTTCACTGGAATCCACACAGCACTACGGCAATGACAGGTGGACTGCCAGAATGATCTATGAGGAGTTCTGTATGACCAGCCAGAAAGCATCTAAATAAAAAGAACAATGTAAATACGTGTATGGATGATCTTGCTAATGCCAGCTAACATTTACTGAGGGCTTATTATGTACGGGGCATTTTTCTAAGTATGCTGTGTGGACACACTTACTGAATGCCATACGTCCCTATGAGGTAGGTAATGGTATTAATGACCTTTTTACAGAGGAGGAAACCGAGGTATATGGCAGTTAGGAAACTCTCCCAGGTCACACGGTCAGTAAATGGCTGGGCCGGAACGTGACCTCAGGGAACCTGCCTCCAAGGCCACGCTCCTAACAACTCCATCAAGAGGATCCTACCCATCAGGACCCATGAGAAGGACTTGTGGTCAAGCGAATTTGAGGAAGCTGGGTGGGTATTTTACTAGATGGGTATTTTACTCTACACATTTTCAGTCTTTAATATCCTAATATACATTGTGAATTTCCCAAAAAGACGTCTCTTCCAAAAAACCTGGCTGCAGAGACCATTTTCATGGAGTTTTGGGAAAAGACAAAGGTTCTGAGAAAAGCTGTTTAGGAACTGCTCCGCTACGACGTTCATAAAAGAATTCTCAAAAATAGCAGTAGTATCAACCGTCCTAAACATCCAGCTACTACGGCTGGGAAACAAATCACCCTAAAGCTCAGTGCCTTGAAACAGCAATAATCGGTACCGTCCATCAGCATGTCTGGGGCCACAAATGTGGGAGTGGCTCGGCGGGGCGGTTCCGAGTCCCGGTCCTTCACGGGGCGCAGCCCGACGGCAGCTGGGTCTGCGTCACCCAAAGGCTTGCCAGAGGCTGGCGGGTTCATCGGGACGAGGCTCCCTCACAAGGCTCCACTGCAGGTGGGTGCCGGCCCGGAGCCGCGTCTCCCTGTCAGGGGCCACGTTGTCTCCCCAGCGCAAGGAGCGTCTGAGCCAATGGCAGAAGCAGCAGTGCCTTTTATAATAGCCGCAGGAGTCACACCGTCATTGCTGTCCTACACCACGGCCCAGGCAGTGACAATGGTCCACTCGGGCTCAAGGAGAGGGACACGGACCTCACATCTCCCTCTCAATGGAGCAGCGGCGAAGTCGATTTTAGTAAGACCATGTGGGATGCGATGTGTTTGGATGCAGCCACCTTTGGAAAATCTATCGGCTATTCTAAGCATCACAAATACACACAGAGACATATCCATCACAGCACGGCTTGTAGTAACAAAACAATGGCTTAAATGTTCGTCAAAAAGTGCCAGGCTTACGGTGAGAAGATTCAGGGGGAAAAGACCCCATTTGCAATAGCCAAAACAACAGATAAACAACTAACAATGACAACAAGTATCACAACATAAACTGAACAAGAAAAGCCCAAAGCCTATGTGTGAAAAACTAAAAGATTTTCTTCAAAGATATAAAAATATCCTGTAACAAATGGAAAGAGATATCATGTTCTTGGATTGGAAAAAGAAATATCATAGAGATGTCAGTTCTCGTGGAATTTAAGAGACAAAACAGATGAACATGGGTGATGGGAAGAGAGAGGCGAAGATAAAACAGACTCTCAACTATGGAGAACACACGGAGGGTTGCTGGAGTGGAGGTGGGGGTGAGGACGGGGGAGGACAGGGGGAATGGGTTACACAGGTGATGGGGATTAAGGAGGGCACTTCTGATGAGCACCAGGTGTTATATGCAAGTGCTGAATCACTGAATTCTACACCTGAAACTAACAATACACTGTATGTAAACTGGGATTTATTTAATGTTTATTTGTTTTTGGTGGGGGTGGGGGGAGAGGGGGAGAGAGAGAAGAGAGAGAATCCCAAGCAGGCTCCACGTTGTCAGTGCAGAACCCAACGCGGGGCTTGATGACTAACTGCAATTTAAATAAAAACTGGAAACAAACACAAATAAATAACAAATTTATTTTAGCCATAAAAAAAAAAAGATGTCGGTTCTCCCTAAATTAATTTATAAATGTAAGCATACCGATCCGAACAGAAATATCAGCAGGTTCCCCTCCCCCATCCTGAAACCAGACCAAATCAATTATGAAATTCACCCGGAAACTTGCAAGGATGTTAGGAAAAACTGTAAATAAATATCGAACTGTACTTAATGACAGAGCTGCTGATGCTCACAACTCCCTGTCAAAGACATGAAGGTAAGAGGACTAAGCACCGTGCAGTAAAACGTAAAGGGTAAGATTGACGGCAGGTAGCTGGTGTTCACTGGAAACTCGACTGTGCTATAGACGTGAGAATGTTTCCAGCAAAACGTGCCCAGAAAAACCCTACACGAGAGAGCGGTATCAGGGCCTGGAAAGGCTGACAAACCACTGACAGAAAATTCAAAAAGAGGCTCGAATGTACGTAGATATTTAGCACACAATACAAGCTTAGTCAGGGGGCTGAAGGATCAAAGTTTCCTCACTTTGCGCACCAAGATCAAGTCCAAACGCACAAGTGATACAGACATAATAAATCGTACACGAGGGAGAAACACACGGGTGAATGCTTCTCTAAGCTAGGTGTGGAAAAAAGTTCATATGACTCAAAATCCAGAAGCAAGAAGGGAAAAAATGATGAATTTAACTACATAAAAATTTTTTGATACATTTTGTTGCCCGGCAAAAACACACCAGAAGTGGTGGGGGATGCCGACAGCAGGGGATGTGAGTGAGCGGGACCAGGGAGGGGTGCACAGAGCCTCCCTGTACTTTCGGCTCAATTTTGCTATGAACCCAAAACTGTTAAACATATGAAAAGATGCTTGCTCTCACTCAAAATAAGATAATGCATGCGGCGCCTGGGTGCCTCGGTTGGTTAAGGGTTCGACTCTTGATTTCGGCTCAGGTCATGCGTGATCTCGTGCTTGTGGGATCAAGCCCCGAGTTGGGCTCTGTGCTGAGTGTGGAGCCTGCTTAACATTCATTCTCCCTCCCTCTCTCTCTCTCTCCCTCTGCCCCTCCTCCACTCATACACACATGCAGGCACTCTCTCTCAAAAAAAATGTATTAAATATACTAAAGTTAAAATATATTAAAATTTAACATTAAAATATATTAAAAACATATTTTAAAAAGATAACGCATATTAAAAACTACACCAGGACATACTTTCTTGCTCTGGAAGACTGGCAAAAAATCACAAGACTAGCGGGTTGGTCAGTTTGTGGAGAAGCAGACACTTTCACAGATTGATGGGTATGAATGCCAAATGGTGTTAAGTTCCATGGAGGGAAATGTGGTAACATCTAGTGATGTATATGGGGGCACCCGGGCAGCTCAGCTGGTTGAGCGTATGACTTCAGCTCAGGTCGTGATCTCGCAGTTCGTGAGTCTGGGTCCTACATGGGCTCGCTGTTATCAGCGCAGGGCCCGCTTCCAAACTTCTGCACCCCGCTCTGTCTCTGCCCTCCCTCTGCCCCTCCCCTGCTTGTTCTCTTTCTCTCTCTCTCAACTAAATAAAACATTTAAAAAAAAATTTACAGACCTATTACTCTCTAATGCAACAATCTTACTTGTGTGAATCTATCCCAAAGACACAGCAACAATATGAAACGGTTTGTACAAGGCCGTTCATTGTAACAATTATGTAATTCAACTGTAGTACAGTCGAAGCCTGGAAAGAATCCGAACGCCCATCGCTGTGGCACTGGCTGTATCACCTTGGGAGTGCTACGCCGACGTGGAAAGACATCACGAAAACGTGTGCACGCACAGCTGTGGGGCAAAGCACACAAGAGGAAGAACTGTGCGCAGGAGAGAACGTCCTGCACCTGCTAAGATGCTGACAGAAAACCCACAGCTCACCGCATACTTTGTGGTGAGAGACTCCAT